TTGTTGCAACTCAGACCGATGAACTTCCAACTAATTAGAAATTCTAACAAGTCACTCACGCCAGCTCGAATGTAGCCACGTTGTCCAGCCAGTTCTTAAACTTCTTAAGCAATAGCTGGGGTTGCCGAATTTCCTTTCTCCCATCTGCAATGGTTTGAGTGATTTTTGTTTCTCCTTGAATTCTTCAAAGAGTGTTCCAATTTTACTGATATTCCTCTATTGGCTGGCAAGCTTTCGCCTCTAACACCTTCCTCCACTCACCTGATGCGGCTGGCGACGTTAGTAAATAAACCTCATTTTTCGTGATGTATACCGAGATAACAGTGTAGCGTAAACATTCCTTTATCAAGCAATCAATCCCAATGTTTCACACAATTCATCTTTTGCATTAATCTGCACCCGCACCTTCGGATTTCTCTAGCTCCCATAATCTTTCGTTCCAAAGGATGCATGAGGGGAGCCTCCACATATGTGTGTTTAAATGTCTGATGTTTAGAGAAACTTTCTCGAACTCGGATAGCCAGAAAGGTTCATAAATGCCCGTACGTGTTCATCGAGGCGGATTTTCAAAGGTCTCCAACTAGTATGCTTCTCCAATGTATGTTTCGCTACACCTTTGACAACGTAAAAGGTACACGGTACCTTGTTATTCACAAATCATTGGAGTGAACAGTATGAACAGTGGTTTCCGGAGCGTCGGTCTTCATAAATTCTCGAGGAAGTCAGCATATCTTTCAAAGTCCCTGGTGGACGAAATACGTGATTGACGGGTAACTGGGAGTGTTTGGCCATATTATTTGCCTGTTTAGTGATCCAGTGTTTCGTTGAAGTATGGTCGTACGAGTTAACGTATGTAGCTCTATCTGGTGTTCTACATGTATACTGTGAAGCTCAGAGATAGCACCATCTTGCCTAGTACTTTATTCTGCAGATGTCGGTTATGAACAGAGAACTCAAAGTAACTGCAAAAACTTTGCAATTCCCGTATTTTCCGTCTGAATTCAAGGATTGGTATGGGATCCAGCTGCACTGGCGCTGTTTGCAGTTCATCATATGCCGTGGCGACCATTGATAGATCTTCCAAGGTAATCTCGGGCTCAGTCCGGCTGCTCTGAGCGCGAAGAAGAAGACCTCGGCTATCGATAAGCCTGACGAAGTTTTGTGAATGATCGTGTTACACTCAGAGATATTTCGGTCGAATGCATTTGCTACAATAAGTGTAGGCATTAAGTGCTGTTTTACAACACTAGTGCAGGCGACTTCGTTGCTTTTCTTCAGCTTCATCAGCTGTAGTTCCCTACAAGGACTGTTCTCGTCGACTTCTCCTTATGAAAATTGAATCTTCTCGAACACACTATCTACGAATCGTCTCGTTGTCTTTGTTAGCTTTCCTTTTTCGTTGAGAGTGTCGTTTTCGCAGTCCTTCATCTTCCCGACCAATGCACCATATACGCGTGGTTCAGTGTGTACGTCTTGCTATCGAACAGGACACAGAGTTGTTATTGACCTTCATCCGGTTGAACGACGTCTCCTGGAGTGATTAGTTAGAGATAAGAAATGAGTTTCCTACTCATTTACTCCCTTATGCGCTGGCAAAACATTATACAACGAGATCACAGAATATTACAAATACAGCCTCCAATATGGACTTTTGCTTCCTTGATCGTTTTTCTGTAGGGAACGTTCTGTTACCTTTCGAAGTTTTCAGGCGGAACTATTTATTAAATCAACGGCCTAACATTTCGACGTAGTCGTCGTCTTCCGAGGCCTGAATGCAACTTGAGATGGAACTCATTAGAGAACTCAAATAATTGAAGGCTTACCAGAGTCCCACCGTTGAACGAAATCCGTTGTTGCCACTGGCGAATGTCAGTAGACAAAACCCTCGATATCGACGTAATCTAACGTTTCGGTGAATCCGCAATCTTGAAGCAGTGTGTTTTTGAAGCAGTGTTCGTGGG